GGGCATTACTTGTTTTTCTTGTTTAAGACTTTGTTTCCCCATTTTAGCATAGTCCTCATTAAGGATGACCCTTTCACGTTAGTCAACAATGTTGATTTACCTGTAAGATAGGTAAACTTAAGATCATTCAGTGCTACTACTAATAGAGCTCTTCTTGAAACTTAATTTAAGTGCTGAAAACTTTATGTAGTTGGAGACTCATAAAGATCTTTGCCATTTCTTTCCATGATATAAACAGAAGTTGGAAAACATGGTTAGAGGAGACCACAGGAAGAATGTTCTTCTCCTGGGAAGTATCAAAGCAATGATTTACCAAATCATTGGTAAAATGATTTAGAAATGCATTTTGTTTTTATTTCTGACACATAAGCAGAACATAATGACCACAGACAGAAAGCACCACCAAAACTGTGTGTTCCCCACCCTATTCCTTTTAAAATATTTAATATATTCCAAATATATTACTCTTAGCCAGGCCTAAAGGTATGTGACAATGTACAAAGGAGCTTAGTTGTTAATGATTAATTTGATTAATAGATAGAGTTTATAGCAGTGATGGCTAACCTTTTTGTCGAGGTGTGCCAAAAGTGTGGGGAGCATGGGGGAGTCACGCGTGTGCGTGCCCACACCCATAATGCAATGCCCTTCCCCCATGCATGCACGCAGGCCTCACTGAAGCCTCTGGACATCCGGGAGGTATGTTGGGCCTTTTTTTGCCCTCTGCAGGCTTCAGGAAAGCCTCCTGAAGCCTCTGGAGGGAGAAAAATGGCCCAACACACAAACTGGAAGTTTGGGAACGGACTTCTGGGTTGCCTGTTGAGCTGTTTTTCTCCTTCTGAAGGCTTTAGGAGGCTTTCCTGAAGCCTGCAAAGGGCAAAAAAAGAAAAAAGAAAAAGGCCCAACGCACAAACCGGAAGTCAGGCTCCCAAACTTCTGGTTTGCAAATTGGGCAGTTTTTCACCCTCCTGAGGCTTCAGGGCAGCCTCTGGAGGGTGCAAAATGCCCAAACACCAAGGCCGAAAATTAGCTGGCTAGCATGCACATGTGCGCTGGAGCTGACAGGGCAATGCCTCGCATGTCCTCAGAAATGGCTCTGCGTGCCACACGTGTATCATAGGTTCCTCATCACAGATATATAGCCATCAGCTGTTCCATTTTCCTATATTATTATTGGATAACTCAAAATCTGTAAATGTTTTGTCAAATATCTCCTTCACAAGATAGGATTCCATTTATATCACAATCTTCAGATTGTGGTGTGTAATAGATGATATAGATGAGGAGCAGCTCACACCTTCAGATGTTTTAACACCAGAAGAGATACTTTTCTCCTTCCCAATAAAACTTAGTTGCTTAATAAAACAATACTTGACTTAATTGCTTGGAAATGCTACTCCCAAACCTGTGTAAATGTCAAACCTGAAGCTGGCCCGGCCGAAACCATCTTGGACCTTCAGTACTGCCACACTGGAACTGAGAGATAGAGAGGGGGGATTAGAAATAGCTGTGTAGTCAACATAAAATACTTTCTCTTGGGAACCAAGGACATTTTCACACCTGGAGGAAGGAAGGAGAAATGATGTCACCACACCAGTGGATGTTGCCTTGTTTGGGCCATATAACATTGTTTGGGATTGAGGGAAAAACTTTCACTTTTAATTAGATGAAAACCAAAAGACCATTCAGAGCTGGTTTTCATCAATTATTTGCCAATATGATATTTCCAATAAAGATACTCTTTGAGGAATCTACCTGCCTCAAAGTTTTGCTTGCTATGGATCTATTACTTGAAATCCTGATATTAAACCGACTCTGCTAAACCAGTGTTTTTCAACCACTGTGCCGCGGCACACTAGTGTGCCGTGACATAGTGTAAGGTGTGCCGTGGGAAAATTACTTTATATATAGTCNGACCAGGTAGTATGATTTGTGCAGTGCACATAAGCATATTTAATCCCCTTATATTTTGTACTCCAAATACCATTATCTCCAGCCAATGTGAACAATGTCGTGCATTCTGAGAATTGTAATCCAAATCACCTGCAATAAATCAGGTTGTCTATCTCTATGATGGAGAAAGTAGTCAGGTGAAATCAATGCAGCTGTTCCAGCATTGGCAAAATGCACTTCTGGCCAATCTCCATTCTCCTTTCATTATTTTTCCTTGATTTTTCAGGTCCAGGAGAAGGTCAATACCACACATTCTGGAATAGTTCAAAAGTGGTGTTTGTGTAGAGAAAAAGGCTCCTTTGTTCTATTTCCTGACTTCCTTCAGATGTTAAAGACTCTGAATCGTACATTCTTAGCCAAGTTTCTCTTGTGTTCTGACCTTCTCTCTGTCGTATTTTTTTCTGTGTGACACTCAGCATGTCAAATATGTCTAGGCTATTCAAAAGAGTTTGTTGCACTGAAAAAATACCATTGAGTCACTTGCTTCTTAAGTTCTAGAAATATGTTTCTCATTGTTCCAATTGTTTGTTCCAATTGTTAAATTCAGCATAAGATGTATGCTAACATACTTTAGCATACCACATCCATGTTGAACTACCTTCGCTTCTGAAAGCTAGTTTCTGTAGGTCAAACAAGACCAAGTAATAAGCCTTCTAGATTCTGAATTTTACCATATTTATGTTTTGAAGATCCTCTATAATCTCTCCCTTTTAGGCTCTCTGTGTTTGGAAGACAGACTGATATAACTCCCTGCTCTGCACTGCTTTTATACTGGCCAACCATTGAAAGATTCTCTCTGTCTATGAAACAGACTAGCCATAGAAATACTGTACTCTAACCCAGTGGTGAGAAAAAAGTAATTTAACAACCGGTTCTCTGCCCTAATGATCATTTTAAGCAGTGGGATTCAGCCAGTTCACACCACTCCAGGAGAACCGGTTGTTAACTTTCTGAGCAGTTTGGTGAACTGGTTGCTGGAAAAAATTATTGGGGCAGAGAACTGGTTGTTAAATTATTTGAATCCCACCACTAATTTTAAATATTAAAAAATGGTATACAAAAAGCCTTTGGCAAAAGGGTTAGGGCAGGGGTGTCAAACTCGCACTGTCAGGCCTGGAAGCCATCTTTTGCATTGGTCCTTCAGGCCTGCCAAATTCAATGCTGGGGAAAATAGGAGGGAGGATTATAGGGAGTATGGGAGATACAGTATATAGTCATAATAACATTCCTTTCTTGAAGAGTCAAGGACATTTGCTCTGCACCTGGAGGGGTATGACTGGGAGGCATCTCCAGTTGGGACGGTGCTTGATTGGGCCATGTGATGGACATGTGGGTGCTGGGCAAGGTCTTGAACTTTCATTTGGGTGGGGAAAACCTGGAAGCTTTCCCAGATGTGCCAATATGACCTCTAATAAAATGGAACTTTGAGGAACTTCAAGCCTCGGAATCGTCTTTCATTGGGGGTGTTACTTGAAACTCTGACATGCACACTGAAGACCAGATCTGTCATGCGCTGGGCATGCCCACCCCCGGTTTAGCGAAGGGGGGGGAAATAACGGTACATCATGTGACGATGACGTGATGATGCAAGTTTGACACCCCTGGGTAAGGGTTAGGGCCTGAATATTTTTTGACCACTGTAGAACTTTGAAGCTGATTCCTGTACGTGGTTCAGATGGCTTCCTTTTTTGCTGTGTTCCAGTACGAAGTTCTTTTGTTTTGCTTTTCAAAATTTGTCACTGCTTTGTGAGTTTCTTCTATTTTCCTGGCTGGTTATTTGGGCTACATTTGATATGATGATACTCTGCACACTTTTGCGGGGGGGGGGGGGGATTTTAGCTGAAGTAGGAGAGTTCCCAGATTAAATTCATTAACTTGGAATCTGCAATGAAATCAAAATATGTCTGCAAGGGTTGCTAACTAGGCCAGAAGTGCATTTTGCCAATGCTGGAACAGCTGCATTGATTTCACCTGACTACTTTCTCCATCATAGAGATAGACAACCTGCTTTATTGCAGGTGATTTGGATTACAATTCTCAGAATGCACGACATTGCTCACATTGGCTGGAGTTAGTGGTATTTGTAGTACAAAATATAAGGGGATGAAATATGCTTATGTGCACTNACTGCATCCTAACCACTGCGCCACCTCAGCACTTATCTGAAAAACTTGGATTTCTAAAGATCGGTAGAGTTTTGGGAACAAGATGGGCTGCCTGTAGTTTAAAGTTAACTCTAGCTGTGTGGCATGCTTATCCAGTGCTACATCAGTATTTTCATGCAAATGAAAAAAACTCAGGTATGGCTGTACATCTTGAAATTATATATTTTATAACTGATTTGGCATTTACAATACAAAGGATAAATGAAATATGGGTACTGCAAAGGGTGTACCAAACCAGCAGAGATTCAAAGTAATAAATATGGACAACAGGGTTATATATTCCTATGTTTTGGCTGTGTTTGCACAAAAGCTGCTTTGAGCACTACCATTTTTTTGCCCCATCACATATATCTTTTGAATCAGCCTTAGCCATATGAACCCAAAACAGCCATTTCTATGGGTTTATGTAAATCAAGCTTCTTAAGGGGCCTTTTTGGCTTAGCAGGAAAACATTTGAGAACATTCTTAGAGAAAGATGAAAATACAATTATTTGTAAAAGCAATAGTTTTAGTCCTAGAAAGCATTCTTCTTCCCCTGCATTAACTGCCCTTTACTTTTCCCCATGCTGTGACTCTTCTGCATTTTAAAATGTAATGTTTTTTAAAATGAATATTAGTATTCTTCCCTCAGAAGAAACAAACTACAAGACGCAAAGCAGAATTAAAACCAGAGTGACAAGTCTCCACTGGTGACCATTCAATGAGACAGAATCTGAGTCAAGCTGGTGCTGTCCAACTTCAAGTGAAGCTTTTCCCTTGAGCCAATAGAAGTGCATCTCAGGCTTCTCTGCAAGTGTGTCTTTACAAGCGTGAGCCACTCAGCCAGCAGAGAAAAATAGGAGGAGGAGGAGGGACAGGGGCAGGGGCAGGAACCACACGAAAGCTATATTGCTGCCAGAAGTGAAGGAGGCAGAAAGTGCAGCTGTTGCTGCTTTTCAGAATCTTTTACTAAGATGCCCTTTCAAAACAGTTCTTCTTGGACAAGGAAACAGAAAATGATTTTGACAGGGGCGATAGTGTTGTTTTTGGGCACCCTGACTGTTTTTGTGATTATTGGACTGCTCAGGTTTGGAAAGAAGAAGACTCCCGCTGCAGAAGAACAGCAGTGGAAAGGCAAAGGGACCACTGAACACCTGATGGAAATTGTCCTAGGAAGATGTTACAACTTCATCAATACAATAAATTCTGAACTCAGGTGAGTGGCAGGGTGTTCTTCTTGCAAAGACTGGAAGAAGGATTGATCCAAAGGGTATGCAAAAAGGAAATAAGTAGGAAAAGGAAATGTCTGGGGCTTCTTTTGCAGAAAAATAAATACCTTGTAGCAGTTGAAAACAATTTTATTCTGAAATGTATCATACTTGCAAGAATATAACAGTCTATAGCAAATAGGCTTGCTATTTTCTTCTGAGGAGCTCCATTTTATTAAAGATAAAATAAAATAATAAAATAATATAAACATCTATGTTCTGCCTTCAAATGCATCTGCATTCTTCAGGGCTGATCATATCAGAATTTCAATTATCCCAGCAAACTATTTCAATTAATGGGAAATCCATATACAGAGACATTTTCACATTTCTTCTACAGCAAGTAGTATAGGCATGTCTGTTGTCTCTAATATATACCTGACAATTGATTGCCTTCTCTGAAAATCCATTAAAAAAAAATCCAGCCACTTGTCTGAAATGGTGTAGGATGTCCTGCTTGAGCAAGGGGTTGGACTAGAAGACCTCCAAGATCCTTTCCAACTCTGTTATTCTGTTTAAAATTACCTATCACTAGAGCAAAATCAGAAAGAGAAAGGAGGGTTTAGTAGTACAAGTGTGGGATATCTCTGTCATATTCCCACTTACCCTTCCTTTCTCTTTAACCACAAAGTAAAGTATTGAAACTTTTCTCCAGCAGCTTGATCCTTTGATTGTTTCTTTCACAATCCTCTGAATGTGGCAAGTTCCCAAAAGCATAACTTTTCTCTGTTAAGAGTGATTCATGGGTACTCATGGTTCTGAAGTTACAAACCTAGGACTGTTTTTTAACATGCTATGGCATTTCAGACTGGAAATGAGACATTCCAGTGACTTCTTGGGGAGTGGAAAGTATAACGTATAAGAGGGCTAATGAAAGGGTATAATACAAGAGAGAGAGATGATGACAGATGGATTTGAGAGGTGTTCTTCAAAATAAGATTGCATTAATCGTTCAAATCAATTGAGCCCAAAATTTATGTTGCTAAGTGAGATAGTTAAGTGAATTTTGCCCCAATTTACAACTTTTCTTGCCACAGTCATTGCAGTTGTCAGGTTAGTTACCCAGTTGTTAGGTGAATTCAGCTTCCCCATTGATTTTGCTTTTCAGATAGTTGTCGTAATTATGAATCAGTTGCCAAGCATTCAAATTTTGATCGCAACCATGGGGATGGTCATAAATCACTTTTTTCAGTATTGTTGTAAGTTTAAGTGGTCACTAAATGTACTCTTATAAGTCAAGGACTACCTGTAGATTATCTCTGTATTTCAGGTATGAATTTGGAGAGAGAAAAATTCTGGCTCTTCATGATTTTACTTTGTCTTGAATCATGGATTTGCATTTCAGGGGTATCTCTATAAATTTACTCAGAAGTAATCTAGTTATATTCAGTTGGATTTCCTGCTCACTAATGCAAACATTAGTAATGCAAACACTAGAATTGTAATTCTAGTAGGAAGATTAACTCACGATAAACCTTGTGTGCCTCATTATTAAGTAAATATCCCATGGTTATAAAAAAAAAAGTCCTGTTAATTTACATTCTCAAGGAAATCGGGATTTTAAATCAGGAAACAGAGAAATGTGATTAAATTTGGAAATGCATGGCTGATTGAATTAGACACTGTATTTTTTAAACTGGTTGTAGGTATTTATGCAATAGAGGTGGTAATCTGCAAAACTCAATAGTAAAGGAATGTATTGTTATTGTTGTGAAAGCAAGATGCTTCCGGAATTTTATCAAGGGATTGCAATTTTAGTGAATTAGTGTGAGCTTGAAAGGAAGATGTTATCTCTTTAAAAGGAGACAATTCTTCGAAATAAATGTAACTCTTACGACAGTGGCACTATTTCTTTCCAGACTCATTTGGAAATCAGAAAAAAGTTCGAAATCTTACTTAAATACTTGAACAGAGAGCATTGAGAGCAACTTCTAAATGCATACCATTTTAAGATTGCCTTTAATTTTTATTGGTATTGCTGAATTCTTTAGAGAATCATACTCTTACAGGATTTGAGGAGATATATTAATATTAAACTACATCCTTTTCTTTCTGGGTTGCTAATGGTTTTAAATGATAACTGATCTTTTCTATTAAAAAAAACACATCAAAGTTTGATCACAGCACTTTAAACAGAGATATACTATATTCATGTTCACTCTCATTCCAAAGTATTTCTTCCATATTTTTGTGGAGTGTAGTCATCCTGTATTTATGGATTAATTTTTGTTTAAAATCTAGTTTATACAAATCAGTATTTTCTTTGTCAGGCAGGCAGGCTACACTGGGAACTATATACTATTCAGCCCCCATTTCTCCATCTCTTGGGCATCATTTCTGCTTCTGTAATATTTAAATTTTGTAAGTCATTAACTGGTAGAGTGGTTGTGCTAGTCTCACTTCAGACTTTCAAAAATTATAGAGTGATTACATCAATTGTTATTATTTTTGTTAATGTTAATGCCATATGTCTATTTTATTATGTTTGTAAATAGGTGATTTATACATATAGTAAAATTGTAAGATAGATGGCAAATGCTACATAAATCTGGTTATAAAATACAGATAGTTTTCAAAATATGACTCTCATGGAATCTGCTCATTACAGTGGCATGTCCCTGTTATATATGCAAATGTTCCCTGTTACCAGCTCTCTGATTGGCTGGTCATTTGACAGTTGCTTTG